GCTCTGGAATCATGCCCTCCAAGCCACAGACATCTCTAAACCTACAGAGTGGGACTACCTGTTTACCTCTCAGACCTTCACTTTGCTGCAGCAGGGCTCTTATAGCCACCCAGTATGCTCCACCAACACCCAGGTGTTCAGTTGATGCCTGCAGGGCCAAAAAGTTGGCCAAGAAGCTGAAGATGGCAGCTATCCAGAGAGAAAGAAGTGCTTGAGGTCTTAGCACCTGATCTCAACACTGGTGCAAGTGGTTGGTGCTAGAAGCTCAGGAATCAGAATTGCTGGCACAGAGACATGACCCAGTCTTGACTACTTCCATCTCTGAGGGGGGAAATCCATGATTTCCCACCTCAAACCCCATCTCACTCTCCTGCTGAAGTATTGCTGCCCTAAGGTTCTTTGCTTGTCTTGCCATTGCACTATTCTGTTCCTGAATCACCATCAAAATTCCATGTTTTGTACCTGGGAAAATGCTTCTGTGACTGCTTTGTGGGAGATAGAGGAATCTCTTGGAAATCCTTGTGGCATGGTTGGTGAACAGTGACATAGCTTCCCCTTGCATGCCTGCACCATTTTGTGAAGCTCTCTTAAGGCATCACTTAGACACACACCCTCAAAGTCAGCTGTGTGTGGGCACCAAGATCAGCCTAGGTCCCAGCCCCTTCTTGACTGGCCTTGTATACACACATGGCAGAAGACCCATGCATAATATTCATATATTTCTCCTTCTTCTCCCACTCCATATTCTGAGCTGATTAGTACTAGGGCTATGGGAGGAATCTTTTTGGGGGTGGGAATCCATCTGGATCAGCTGCCTGGACTCCACTGAATTTTGCCATAGAATCTGAGTTCCTGGTGAATGCACCTGGTATTTGTATGATGCTTACCAGGAAATTCACCTGTGCATCACATGCAACAATGTCTATACATTCTTCAGGTAATGTGGAAGAAGATTGCCAGTTGTACATGTGGCCTCTCCATGCCTGCCTTGCCAGCTTCCTTTTGAGCCTGAGCACAACAGGGATTGATCCAGACAGATCACTGCTTTTCAACTGTTGTCATTACTTTGAATGGTTGACTCCTACCTCCACATTGGCCATATCATGATCAGTAGTGGCTTTCCTGCTATGATCCTCAGTACTGGAGCACCCATTATTTGGATTATTGGAGGGGTGAATGAGAGCATCTCACTGAAAACATATCCATCTCCCTTCTGGCACTGCTGCTGCAAGACTGATTACCATAATTCCAGAAGGCTGCCTATTTGAACCCACAGATCCAAGCAGCTTCCTTGCTGGTACCTCAACCAGCCTCAGTTTATTCAGGACCAGAGAATTATCCTTCAAATTTGGTATTAAGTACATCAGTTTTGTACATTTGGTATCAAGTACACTGACCTCCACTTCTGATGTAGCTATTACCAAGGAGCCAGCATCTCCCTTGGATGACAAAATGACTTAGTCTCAAAACCCAACAACAGGTGGAGGATCTGACAGATCCAGTATATGATGTTGAGAACTCAGTAATACTGAGAACTCAATAGAACTTATGGTAATTCTATATCTTCCAGTTCTGCTTCAGAGGAACTGCAAAACCTGGAAGACACTGCAGAAAGCCCTTCTCACCTTCCAAACATTCCTTAAAAACTGCCATATCCAAATAGCCACAAACAATATAAAGAAGAGCTAATGTCCCTATCTTCCAGTAATGAAAAGAAAAGAACTGGGGAACTACAGACCCATCAGACTGACATCAATCCCTGGGAAAATTCTGGAGCAGATTTTAAAGCAGTCAGTCTGCAAAGACATTGAAAACAGTGATTACTAGAAGCCAGCATGGATTTCTCAAAAACAAATCCTCTCAGATTAATCTTACTTTTTTATTTAAAAAAATGGATAACCTGCCTGATGGACTGTGGAAGTGCTGTGGACATAGTATATCTTTATTTCAGCAAAGCGTTTGACAAAGTGCCCCATGAGATCCTGATTAACAAACTAGCTATAAGTGGGCTAGATGGAACAACAATCAGGTGGATCCACAGTTGGCTACAGAATCGGACTCAAAGAGTGCTCATCAGTGATTGATTTTTTTAGTTTTTAGTTTAAAATCTTAATAAAAAATATGCAAAAAAAAAAGAGTGCTCATCAATAGCACCTTCTTAGACTGGGGAGAGGTAACAAGTGCAGGGTTCAGTCCCAGGGCCAGTGTTCGTCAACATTTTTATTAATGCTTTGGATGAAGAAGCGCAGGGAATGATTATCATATTTGAAAATGACACAGAACTGGGTGAAATAGCTAATACCCTAGAAGAAAGAAGATTCAAGGTAATCTTGATAAGTTGGGGTGCTGGGCTGAAAACAAGAGAATGAAATTCAGAAAGGAGAAATGTCAAGTTCTGCACCTAGGAAAAAGGAAACCAAGTGCATTGTTACAAGATGGGGAATACTTAGCTCAACAATACTGCAAGTGAAAGGGTCTTGCAATTGTTGTAGATCACAAGATGAATGTGAGTCTACAATGGAATGTGGTTGCAAAAAGGGCAAATGCTGTTTAGGCTGCATTAATGGAAGTATCACTTACAAATCATGTGAAGTACTAGTTCCCTTTTACTCAACACTGGTTAGGCTTATCTGGAGTACTGTGTCCAGTTCTGGACACCACAGTTTAAGAAAGATGCAGACAAGCTAGAAAGGGTTCAAAAAAGGGCAACAAGGGCAATGTGGGGACTGGAAGCAAAGCCCTATGAGAGACTTAAAGAACTGAGTATGTTTAGCCTCAAGAAGAAAAACTGAAGGGAGACATGATAGAGCTCTACAACTACTTCTAAGGCTGCCACAGAGAGGAAGGACAGAATCTCTTCTTGATCATCCCAAATTGCAGAACACGGAATGTTGGGCTCAAGTTGCAGGAAGCCAGATTCCAGCTAGAGATCTGGAAAAATTTCCTGACTGTTAGAGCAGTACAATAATGGAGCCAGTGACCTAGGAAGATTGTGGGCTCTCCCACATTGGAGGCAATCAAGATGCAACTGGTCAACCATCTGAGGGGGATGGTTTAACTTAGTGTCCTGCACTGAGCAGGGGGTTGGACCTGATGGCCATCTGGTCCCTTCAAACTCTACTATTCTATGAGTTTATAATAATTATTATATTATTAGAGAAAGGTGTACAGTTGAACAGTTTGTCTTCAGAAACTTGGACAAGCAAGCAGCTTACTGTGCATTGAGTAGAAAGCTTCAATAACATTTCCTTGTCCCCTGGTTCTCGTCCCATCTGCTACCCATCAGTCTTTCAAATGGATAGCAGTGCTGTGCAGTTTCAAGACACTGTGCTGCCAATAAATAGTCATTTAATTAAAAGCTATTTATTTTGCCGTAACTTGTCATAGAGCTGTTCAGTTCAGACTGAAAATAATTTCCTGAATCAGCAGAGGCTCAATGTGCATTCTTAAAGCAGGACAAACTGTCCAGTCATGGGGCTTGATATATGTGATATGTTGGGGTGGGGGGGGGAGACAATGTGGCTTTCAAATGACTCCTTCAAGAATGAGATAGAGTTATGCGGATAATTTTAGGTTGTTTTTTCTGTGCTTATATTTAGCAATTTTATCTATTTCATTCATTCATTCATTCATTCATTCATTCATTCATTCATGGACTAGTACAGTTTCTTGAGTAAGTACTCAGAGAGGAAACTTACTAGGAGTTTTGCAGCCTTGAAACAAAGGTGACCTGAGAGATGGACCCTGCCTCATATGCATGCCTGCTGTTGGCTCAGTTGTTTCTTAGTATGCAAAACACATCAGCCAAATCAGGCTTGTAGTAGTCATTTGAGCTAGTTTGTCTCTCACGTATTCACATTATGAACCAACCATAGGAATTGGGCCCATTTAATGTTCTGTTTTGTTTTGGTTTTTTGTGCAGTAAGAAGCTACCAGTCAGCTTCTTGGCTGGCTCTTCATTCATGCAATAATATGTATCTTTCCTGTTACACATGGATTTGTTGCAAAAATAGAAACAACAGAAGAGTAACAAATGCATTTTAAATCAGTCTCAACCCCTGGTATAAATAAACCATTTTTCTTAGTCATTCCTGCAGCATGGTTTTGGTGCAGTCAGTAAACTAACATTAGACAACAAACAGCTTAACTAATTCCTCTCAGGAAATTTTTTGACTGCTTTTTAAAGCAAACCAGCATGTCTGCCCCTATTGCAAACTAGTGACTCATGAAATGTAGGGTAGTTTAAAGCACAGTTTGTCACTGAGCAGTGTGGCCTGCTGTTTATACAAAGAGCATGCTGAAATAGCTCTCTGGATTGTGGCCCACTGCAGTTTTCATGTATGAAGGACATCTGCTTCCTCTGGAGAGATGCAAAGAGGACAGAAAGAATCTTGGAGCTATCAGTGATGCAGTCTACAGACATTCAAACACAGTGGCAGTGGTACTTTTGTGAGGACACTGAAACTTTTTCACAGAACTGCAGTTTTTTAAGTTTCCTAGGAAGGGAAAGCATAACAGTTTCAGACATGTTAGTATATGTTATGTTAATTTTAAACAATTTCACTTTAAAGGAGAAAATTTGGAGTGTCTGGGCTAAATGATTACATGAACTCCATTTGTTGGGTATCTTTCTGTGTCTTTCATGGAAAAGGGAAACAGATACTGCTATTAAAATTCAAACATGTTGAGCAATATCAGGAGTGAATCAAAAGATTTCTGATCTCTGAAATAATTGCTAACCATATTGTCAACAGAATTGCACTTCTAGGTTGCTATTGTGCATAATTCTGTATTCTTACCAGGCACCTGTTCTTTAGTAGTTCTGTTTAATAGAACAAAATTATTAGTGTTAGATGCTGGTTAAAATGTAAATTCAGCTGATTTTTGCTTTTAGTTTAGTTAACTAATTAATTAGTTAATTTTAGTTCTGTTAACCTCATCAGAATTTATTTCATTGGGGTGAGAATTGTTCCAGTTCAATGTGTATTTCCCCATTACAGCTGAACTCGATGCAGGGCATGCTCAGAAGGTGCTAGATATGGAGCATAACCAGCAAATGAAGCTGAAGGAGCGGCAGAAATTCTTTGAAGAAGCTTTCCAGCAGGACATGGAACAGTATCTCTCCACAGGGTATCTGCAAATAGCAGAAAGACGAGGCAAGTACTGGACTCTTTCTGGGTGTAACTCTTAAGCTAGATCTCGAGATCAAACTATAGCACTCAACTGCTGTTTCCTGAGTTATGGTATTTTCAGGTACTACCAGGTTAGACTCTAACAAATTAACAGAATAGCCAGAAAACTCAATCCCCTGAATCAGTGCCAGAGCAGATGACAGATGAGTTTCAAGATAAATAGTAAAAGATTATCAGAGAAAAGAATAATGGGGCATGTCAGAGGTTCCCAACACAAATCAAATATCAGAGGAAAAAGTGGACATCCTGCCTGGTACCTCTCCAAAGAATACAAAAAAGGACTCAAAAGGGCCCTTGGTTAAAATACTGATTCTTGGGGTTGAATATAGAATTTTGTCCAACATCAGATATTCTCCAGGAAAGCCACAGTTACTCAGGCCACAAATCCTATGATCTTCCAAAATTGTCTCAGAAGCCATAGGATTTTTCACAATCCTATCATCAAAATGCTGCAGTCCTGGAATTTGGAATTTGAAGACCATATCAGGAAAAGAACCATACCAACTTCCCCCCAGTTGCAGTTGGGTCTTGGAGAGGGGGAAAGGAGGGCCTGATGGGGTGGATGCTCTGGCCATACACCACAGTCAGTACCCCAGCTTCTTTCCCTTCATCCCCGATGCTTTATCCATATGGACAAAAAAGGCTGACTTGGTAAAATAGCCAGTGCAGGTCATGGCCTTAATAGGTTTCCCCTATACCTGTCCACCTCTCTGTACGTCACACTTCTCTCCTACTGACTGGCAATAATTGTAGTTCTAATAAGGCTATATATACCCATGAAAGCTGCAGGTTCCACTCTGAAGTAAGTTGATCATTTAGGAATTTTTCTCCTGGATTCCAAGGAGAAGCTTTACTTTATGTGTGGGAATCCCTGCTACTATGCCAAAAAGAAATGCCTGCAATAACCAAAATGTCTGGGGCTATCATATAACCAATTGGATTACAATAAGTTCATTCTGAAATTAACTGCCTTGTAATAGCAGGGATAATATGACTTGTAGGCCAGTACATCAGTTGGTTATTGAGATGTTACCTTCCTGTAATCATACAGTCACAATTACAGGGTACCAGACACACACAAAACATGTCTTCTGGGTCTGCAGTAGAACTGCTACAAAAATCACACAAGTGGGTAGTTTCATATGTATGAAGAATGTTAGTATTGTTTTATGCATAAGCAGTCTTTTGACTTTTGTTTTGCAGAAAACAGGTTGGTTCATGCAATCCATTTTGCAACCAGGAAGGTGTCTGGAAATCATGGTGAAGGCATATATGAATAAGCTCTAGTATACTAATGTATTTTTTTCTGATTGCAGAGCCAATAGGAAGTATGTCTTCTATGGAAGTGAATGTGGACATGTTGGAACAAATGGACCTCGTAGATATGTCTGACCAAGAAGCCTTAGATGTCTTCCTTAATTCAGGAGGAGAGGACAGTACAATGCCATCTCCTATGATAGGTAGATGATGAGCAATGGTACTCCTACTTGTAGTGGTATATGCTAGATACAGTACTGAATACTGATGTGTTATGGCAGGCTAGAATTTATTTTCTTGGCCATTTAAATTGTCTTGATTTAATCAAGGATTGCAGTTTGTCTGTGCAAGATCAACTAAGGAACCAGGTTAAGTCATCATAGTAAAGAGGCCTATGGGCAGCAGAGTACTTAAAGTGCTAGAGGAACCCATGCTATGCCTGTAGTAGAGGTACTGCTGTAGGGCAGGTTGCTTGAAAAAGGGCTTGTTGGGACAGATGATGGGAATCCTTGAATTCATTGAATCCCAATGTTGCTTCCCCTGGAGCTGTCATTGTCATATCCCCTCTCATATTCTAAGGGAGTACTCTGTTCTCTTTTCCCGCCCCCAGCCCAAGCTTTGCTCTGCCCTAGACAGATATATAACTGAGCTGAAGTCTTCCGCTGGGTTTTGGCTTGACTCCAAAGACTTCCTTATGCGATTTACAGCCATTTGAGGTCCATCACTTGCTGAAATTAAAGAGGGTTGAGTTTTATTTTGTTTTTGCCTTAGTTTAGGTCTGAAAAATAAGTCTGTTTGAAGTCCATTTAGGATTTTAAGAACTGTGAATGACTCGTCCTCTGTAAGCTTGTCTACTTCATTTTTAAGCCTGATTGTGCCATAAAAATATGGAGAATTTGGGAGAAATAGTCATAAATTTCATCAAGTTATGAACACAATACCCTACTGTTTACTTACCGTATTTTTCACTCTATAAGACGCGCCTGACCATAAGACACACCTAGTTTTTTTAGGAGGAAAACAAGAAAAAAAATATTCTGAATCAAATGGGCACATAATCACAGGCACATTCCCCATCACTTCCCCATGGGCTGCACATCTGACAGACTTACTGCACACACATATTCGCTCTATAAGACATACAGACATTTCCTCTTACTTTTGAGGGGGAAAAAGTGTGTCTTATAGAGCAAAAAATACGGTACCTCTATTGTGAAAATGGCCTAATAACGCTTCTTTCCTTCCCATCTCTTCAACCAGTTGCCCCATACTTCAATGTAAGATTCTGCAGCTGAAGAATAAAACATAATAATTTCCTAGCTGTATGTCCAAACATATCTAAGGATATATTTACCCTGCCTTCCTCAATACACAGACACATTATTTTTAACAGAAAAAGATACTTGGGTGATTTTTGGAGGAAAGGACTAAGTACTGCATCTTTCACTCTCAATTTTTCCTACCTTAAAAAAAATAATAAATAAAAGGCTATTGAGTTATGTTGGCTACTACTATTTGATGCTACAGCAGATCAAGTCGAATACACTCATCCTGTGTTCAGGTTTGGCTAGTATTGTTTTTTTCTTGGGAAACTATAAAAGTTTTCACTTCTGATAAATGATCATCTTGTAAAAAACATTTTTGTTAAGTTATTCTTGACACACACGTTTTTATATAGATGTGTCATTGCAATAAAGTTGTTTCAAGTTCTGTCATGAGGGGCAACCCAGATTTCTGCTGCAGAGGACTGCCTGTTGGGATGTTTCTCTTTGATTTACTGAAGCTGTTGAGACTAGTGTGTACATGCTAACTGATATTCAAAATTCACTATGTTGAATTAAGGCATAGGCGTGATTAATCTAAGTTCCTTTGATTTCACTGTGTCTGTTAGAAGTGTGTCAAAGTCTGGATTCAAATCCATTTTATGAGAATTAATCTAAAGTCTTTGCATTTTCCACATTTTTGACGAAGATCAGGCAGTTGGTTAAATCCAGTTGTCCATCTGCAGAAGTGGATACACAGAAGCCCCTAAGCCCAGTCCCCACTTTTCAGCAGGACCCCCCAACACCGGAAGCTTTTTAAGCATGCAGGAATGTCAACTTCTGCCCTCCTCACTTGATGGGGAAATTCTGGCTCCAACTCAGTAACTTGAACTGAGCCAGTGTAGTGTAGGGGTTCTGAGTTCTAGTCCCCACTAAGCCATGGAGCCAACTGCGTGTCTTTGGGCCAGTCACAGACACTCAGCTAAGCCTACCTCACAGGGTTTGTGTTGTGGGATAAGATTGAGAGGAGGAGAATAATATAAGTTGCTTTGAGTCCTTAAAACAAGTGGGATATAAATCAAATAAATGAATAAACGTGTAGTAATGCATTTTCAGGAATTCAGGGTTTGCCTCTCATTTCTCAAAGCATCCCCGTCTCTCATTCACTAGGTTAGTGGTTCTCACTCTGCTTTACAGGCTGATCAACATTTCTTCCCAAGTATACTTATCCAAAACTAACAGCAGGGTTAGAAAAGGGAAGCAACATGGAGTTACTGAGTGTGGTGGAGACCTTTGAATATTGTTTGGTGATAGAAGCCTGGTCCAAGCTTATCCTTTTAGTTTGTCTCCAGAATAATCTGAAAATGGTTTCTGTAGGGTTTTCAGTACCCAAATTTTTGTTGGTATGTACTTTTGTTGACCTGAGGCATTTTGCAAGTGTCCAGTGTGAAGTATTTTATTCACACACGGTCTGGGAAATGAAGGGCAGTTAATGCATTACTTAGAATAGTCATTGACCAGAAGTTCAATTTTCATTTTACAGAAACTTGAGAGCTCAAGTTGTACAGAAGGCATGAGGCAGGTAGCACTTAGCTTCTTAAAGCTTGCATAGTTTGTCATGGATGAGTTTTCCTGATCTGAACTGCGCAAACCTTTGTTTCAGGCCATTAGCAGAAGCAGCTCAAGAATTTACGAAGGGTATATGCATGATCTGAAGCATATATTCAGATAATTTATTGCTTAGTCCCACCTGTTTTGTAGACAATGCACAGGAAATGTGTTTGTATACTAATAAATGAGCTCTAGAAGAACTGAGGATTTTGTAACAGAGTTATGTTTCAGTTACTGATCAGCCACTTTGTTCTTTTTCTTAATAATTTCTCATTGTTTTGAAGGATCAGACTACGCCTGTCAAAATGAAATCAGTCTTCAAGTTCCCTCTCAGTCAGAGTTGAGAGAGAAATTGTGTTCCACAGTATCAGTCTGGACTGATTCTGCTAGCCAAGATGCCAGTGAAGGGGAGTCTCCTGTGATTCAATCAGATGAAGAAGAAGTACAAGTGGACACAGCTCTTGTTGCTGTAAATACAGAAATGAAAGGTGCTACTGATGTTAGTGACGAGAGTGATTCACAAACCATTTGAGTCATAAACACCTTGTTCCATATGAATTAGGACCCTGGAATGAATGAGTAAAGAAATGATTGTGTTCGCCTGTTGTTAATATGAACTATCATGAATGAGAATTACATATACAGTATTTGAGTTTGACAGTCATATGAAATACCAGTTTTTATAATATAATATATATAAGCACAGCATTTAGCAATAAAGCCTTGGCTTTTGAACAGTAAACTTTGTATATAGAGGATAATCCAAAGAAGTAGTTATGAAAAGGTTTATTTTGCAATCCTCAATAGGACCATAATACAGAAGCCATCTTTGCTGTTTGTGGTTGCAGTGTTGATGTCTTCATTGTTGTACTAAAGACTGATAAAACCTGGGGATTATGCTTTGTTCAAGCAACAGAATACCTGCTTCTAGTGTTCTGCCCACCTTCAGGGTATGTGTAAAAATAAAAATCTGAGCAGTTGGGCAAGAATCAGGTAGTGTATTGGCCCTGTCCAGGTCTTACTGAAGCAATACAGTTATATGCCTATAAAAAGAACAATGTGACTATGTTGGAAGATTAATTATAATGTACCAAGACCACCAACTATTGTGTAGTTTTCTGACTTTTTGACAGTGTGCATATAGATTCCATCCTCCTATCCTGTCATTGCTTTGTCCTGCATTTGAGAGGATTCCCTCAATGTAAAGGTAAGAAAGTGACCCACAAGTTGTCCTGCTTGCCTTCTAATAGAGGCTTGTGCTTTTCACTAGTTGAACAGTAGTGCACTATTCTTCAGCATTTTGACTACACTAAATATCAAAAGGTTGAAGAACTACCTTGTCTGAACTTTAGATCTGGGCTTAAGTGTGATCCACTAGTAGCGCATTACTCTGACTTGCTGTTTTCATAGAGTTGTCTTAAACTGAGGGGTTTTTTTCCCTTCAAATGGGTGGCTTTTCCTAAACGGCAACTTTAGTTTCCAATCCTCAACATTGACTGTTAAAGAATATCAATACAACTGTTCAATTATGTATGTTCCAAGAAGTTCCCTTGCCTTGAACAAAAGGAGGCATATGTAGGAATGAGCAGGAGCTTTGACTAATTGAGCTTTGCAGTGACAGTAAGCTATTAAGTTAGTTTATTTCACTTTTGTTGGAAGAATGCAGCTCTATAAATGAAAGCTAGCAATCACTGCTATGAAGTTATATCTTTTCCTAGCCTACCAAGCTGGTCTTAACTTAATAGCCAGCTTTAATTATTTAGTCTTTACAACTCCCTCAGAAGAAAGACAAAGTGTCCAAAAAGTGTTTTTTTTATTAAACCTTGTATTACAAACCTGAAAAGTAAACAAAAACTGGCAATAAACATGAAGTCTTCCCTTACAAGGAAAGAGAGCAGAGCAGCACTAATAAATTAAATGTCAAACTGTAAGCCATAGTCAGAAGTTTACTGTCAAGAAGGAAAAAGTACACAGCAAGGCCATAAAAACCAGACAACCACATTGGAAAACACTCGACTCTGTATGTTATTGTTAAATATTCCAAAACAATTCAGTCTTCTGCAACAACCAACAATATGTATTTTATAAGACTTTCCTGACAGTCACTCACCACTGGCAAGCTCAGTGCAATATGGGCAGCTCTACGGTTTTGTTGAATTCAATTATGAAACAAGAGTTTGTGAAAACATTTTCCCTTTTTTATTACACAGATACTGTACACACAACTGGAAAAGGGCAACAACTACTCCATTATTATTTTTGTTGTTGTTCAGTGATGTAAGCAGCACTTATAAATGTTACAAGAAAAACCCTGTAAGCATCCAATCCAACCGATGAAGAAAGTGAAACGTAAGGCTTTTCTTCATCTTGTCTCTTTGCCACCCTTCCCCACCCTCCCAAGAAAAGGCTCAAGTATTTAAAACAATTTACAGGCTTATGTACAAAAGGTGTGATTTTTTTTTTGTTATAAAATGAAGAAAAAAATAGACAAGATGAGAGCAATGCATTTTCACATTCAAAAGAAAGATGCAAACCTGCTAGTGGCTCTAAATGTGATCATAAAACAAACAAAATTAATGCTGACTGTGAAAAGTTATGAACAACAGCAGTGGAATGAAAATGGAATGTTAAAGATTGCACGTCTATGACAAGAAGCACTTATGGCTTCAATCATTTTTTAAAGGATGCTATTGAAGGGTTTTTGATAAAGTAGCCAACAGCACCAAAAAATAACAGAATGGATTTCCTAATGAAATCAGGCACAGTTTTCGCTCGCATGACTCCTCAAGGCAGGCAGTCTTTTTTGTCTCTTTCGTCTTCTCCTCCTCGAACAGATGCATAGTGAAGTGCTGGTAACAGAGAACATTTTCTCCAAATCTCCCATTTTGCCTACGGTTAGAAAACTAAGTCCATCTTCAGCTGCCATTACCTCTCAAAGAAAAGTGTGTATTCTCCAATTTAAAAAGGTACAAAACTCATCCTGCCTGTTACAGAATACAAGCCAAAAGTATAGCAATTTCTTTCAAGTTTTGTCTCCTATCCCTTTTCTCTCTATAGAAAAAAAAATTGCTGACATGACCAGAGAACAAATTATAAAACACACCAAACTTCAACCTATCAACAACAACAAAACAAAAAGTTTAAAAGCCTTCTCACAGTTACCCCCCTCCCACCCCCAAAAGGCTTTTTATTTTCAGGCAGAGGGACAAATACAAATGAATATCATCAGCCCCTTGCTGCTTTTAAAACAGTGAATGTACAGCAGTTAAAAAGACACCTGCTGTATCTAACTATCCTAAAATAAAAATAAAATTCAACAGTTTAATGCTAAAACAAAATTAGTTCTCTAAAACCAGAAGAAAATCTTCTTTAGAGCTAGTGCAAAGACAGCTTGTATTCTACAGCAAGTACTCCAAACTATGATATAATTACAAAAAATATATATAAAATTGACAAAAATGAGAGTGTGTGTTGGCATCTTCATGATTAACTTGAAGCACTTTTGGATGAACTGGAGGATGAAAATCTTGATGACGGCACATCAACTGTTGCTCTTTTCCGAGGTCCTCTTTTTGGTGTAGGCTTGCTGATACAGTTCTCAATGGTGCCATTTTTGCCAGATACTTTTCCACAGATTTGATTGACTAAACTGATTATTTGTTCCTGTTCAAGAAAAAGATGTTAAGTATAATTAGTATTTTCTCTATCCTTTGAATATAAACTTTAGATACTAGATACTTTAATAATATATTGATTCAGGGCCAAGTTACAATAAATGACTTTGAGCATAATGGAAACCTAACTTATAAATGAACCATGCACTCCCCACACCAGCTCCAGTACAGCTGAGAAGAAACCAAGAATTTCCCTACCATTTTTAACTGCCTCTGATACTGGAGATAATAAATAGCCAATGTAACTAGTAGCCACTGACAGTATTATCCTTCAAGAATGATAGTATTATGTCTAGTGTTGCATCAAAACGCAGTCAGTGACAGCCCCTTTCCCCAGTCAAACCCTCCCCCCACCCCAGTTAAACATAATCAGTGCTAATGTTTGATTCACCAGTTTGTTTTTTTACAAAGAACTATCTGCATGCATTTTAAACAAAGTTGCTGAAACTTACATGCTTATCAAGTAACAAAGCAGTAAGACATGAGGCACAAAGTACATTTTAACAGAGCCTCTTTAATAAAGTGCAGGAACAAAGGAATGTCAAATGCCTATGAAAAGCCAACTCAAATATACGTTTCTAATATACCCAAAAGTATTGGTAAGAATAAATTAAGATGTTTCACTACACATCATAGGTACAACAGTTCCAGCATACAAACTATCTAGCACTAATAATTGCAAAAACAGAATTTCACTGTACAGACCTCATCATAACGATACATTAGTTTTAGTCCACGACAAGACTTCTGTTTTTCTACATGCCGCAGAGCACATTCGAGGCAGAAGACAACATTTTCGTTTTCCTGTACAACCTGCCAATTGTTTTTTTTTAAAAAAGTCAAGAACTTTAATAAGCCAGAGACTACCTGTATGTCTATGATTCTAAAAGAAGGTTTAATTGAGAGTCTTAGCATAACGATCCCCATTTGCTATCATGTAAATGACTATGAGAACTCACTTTTATGGTTCAAACACTGAATGTACTTCATTTTTTAAATACAAAACTCTTATCATGATCAGTATGGCAAATGTAATAACTGCATCATTTAATTACAGTACTGATAAACCATCTTCTTAGGGTGCAATCCGAGGTTGTTGCCTGCAACTCTCTCAGCTTGGAGCTATAGGAGCATCCAGCTGAATACAGGTGGAATACAGAGGCAAAGACTGCCTCCATACTTCTCTTGCCCTGTAAAGGATGTAGACAGAAGGGCTGAGATACCAGTGGGATTTCTTGTATCCCACCTAAGTCCCACGCCTTCCCACCACACTGCCTCAATGCTGCAGCTGTCATGCAAGGAACTGGGCCAGGTGCAGGAGCCAAGGGAGGGCTTCTATGACTAGCATTCCAGCTCCAACCTCAGACTGCATTCCCAAGAAGGCTCCATGCTGTTCTAGGGCTGTCCAGACATCTGGTGGCTGCAGGATTGCCACCTGAGTTACTCTGATCAAATTCCAGTGAGCATCAGAAGCAGAGTCAACACTGACAAGATTTAAGTAGTTCTTCCATGCAAAAATGTGCCACAGTCAATCTTTTCTTTGGCATGGGCTAAGCAGTGATGCAAGCAGCAAAGAACTTTGAGGATGCCAATTTGAATTGCTTATGTGGTGAATGATGAAAGTACACAATTGTTTGTCAATGGGAAATTTTCTTTCTGCCACTGCAAGTCTTTTAAAAGTATATTGGCAGTTTGCTATAGAGAGTATCTTATTCACAAATGAGGTACTATACATAAATGGCTTATCACATGCTGACTGTTCAAAGAGGCCTTCATGTGTACATCAGCCCCATATTGTGCTTGATGGCACTGCACTTTATGAAGTACAGTGTGTGGAGAAAATGTGCTTTTAGTCATGCTTTCAATAATTTATAGTGCTCAATCATCATTGCCTTATGAGACTACTTAGAGAAGTAATTTTAAGTCATTTTTTCTATGACTTAAAATTGAACTGTTCTATGCAACTTCTCTCTGGACATGAGGGATGCTCATGAAAACTCTTACCAATTATAGCTATGGTCACAGCTGCATTTTTTCCTAAATTAAATGTGCGTATCTTTTTCATAGCTCCCCTTTACTTGTATTAGTTTCTTGAGAAATCACACATTTCAAAGCACATTTTAGGTAATCCTGTGCTTCCTTAGTGGAAAGATCAATAATGGCAGAGAAGTTACTCTACAGCAGCCCTTGCAAAACAGCTGCCATCATGCTCTGCAGTGGGCACCTGAAGGCACATGCTGCGCATGGCTCAGGCAAAACAAGGCAGCTGCTGAGGTGCAGTGATGTTGCACAGTGCCCACCTAAGTCCATGTCCCTGAATATACCCAAACATTCTTTGCAGCAAGATAGAATTCCTTGACAGATGACTCCACATAAAAGTTTGAAAATAAGAAATTACAGTACAATCTTTAGAAATATGTTTCAGCCTA